CCCAGGAGGCAAAAAATGGGGAGGGGGCCATAGCTCCCTCCCCCACCCCCCACACTCCATTTTTTTTGCCTTCCTGGGCCCCAGGGAAGCCTTCTGGGAGCAAAAACACCCCCCAGGAGGCTCCCGAGGCCCAGAAGGCCCAAAAAATGGGAGGGGGGGTTGCTGGAAAAGAGATGCCACATCCACCCAGTCACATGGCCACGCCCACCTGGCCACGCCCACAGAACTGGTTGTTAAAAAAATTTGAATTCCACCTCTGCACAAGGTATTGGGTAATGTTTATTCCATTATGGCCCAGGAGACGCAGATCTCACCCAAAAGGGGATATAGCATCTCTTGAAAACAGGCTAGCATTGGAAGTTGATTACCTAGTCACACTCTGGCTACAATTTTGCTTCAAAAAAATTATGACTAAATCTGTCTACTGATTTGGTATGCTTTAAACTGGTGGTATAAAAGGCAACACAAATTCCAGAACTATTGAAATTCATACAAAAATGGCCAAGAGGGCTTCTTCATGTACTTTGTTAATTCAAGATGTGCTAAGACTGGGTTCCTGTTTCATGTTTAAAATCAGTTCCAAATTTCACCATGCACTAATAAAATTGTACTCCAATTTTTCTGCCCAGACCTTTCCACTCCTAAAGAACTAACCAACACAAAATATCAACAGAAGAAAATACATGTACTTCAGGGTTGAACTATGGGGTCCTTGATGATTTCTCAGCTTGCTTGCTTGCTTTCAGACATTTCATTATTTGACAAAGTAATATAAGTGCTAGTGAGACTGGGATTTATTCCTCTTCATATATAGTAGCTTGCCCTGCCAATGTTGGTGATGTGTGTGATGGTAAGTAGGACAGACAAACAAAAGATTAGCAGATCACATCCATGAACACCAACTAACAATCAAGACACAATGAAAATGCCTTAATCTCACAACATATTGCCAAACTCAACCATAGTTTCAAATGAGAAACTGAACGTCCTAGATCAAAAATACTAAGGAATTCCTGGAAGCTTGATATTCAGACAAATCAGCCATCAGTAGACATACAGAGATAAACCATTGTTACACAGCAGTCAAAAGAGGCATTAAAAAGACAGGGAAACAAAAAGACTAGAAAACATCCTCTCCAGCAACCACTACTCAAATAAGCAGAGATTAACACCAGACAAACAAGCAGAAAATAAAACCCTAATTGAGGAACTATCAAGGAGAAAACCACACCCCAGAAACAGTGGCAGGGCAAGCTATGGCATGTAAATAAGGCAAACCCCACATTCGCTAGCACTGATGTTACCTAATTGAGTAGTGAAATATTTGTAAGTAAACAACTAAACTCAGACAGCAACACAATACAAAATAGCTGTGTGCAGGGAAGGGTACTAAAATATTAACTTACTTTAGTAATATTAATAACCAATTTGCTTCCTATAAAGTAGAAATTCTGGACAGACAAGTTAAACAATCCATCAGCCAGTAGGCTAGAGTACATTGCTCTGGTGTTTACAGCCAGCAAGAAACCAGTCCATCACAGTACAATCTGTTGGGTGATACCTGCATCAACAGTGTTAATTGTTGTTTTGGACAGGGCATTTGAGGTTCTTTGTGGTTATCATGACATTGATATCAAGAATGTGATAGGTCAATGATATACTGATCTCCTGACAAACAGTAAACTAGAGATCAAGAACCCTAATAACATCTTAAAAACCTTCATTCTTTGTGTGCAATTTTTTTGTAGTCTAGAACATGTGGCTTATACATGGAAGAAAGCAATTCTTGCAAGTTTCCACTTGGAAAAAATAACACGGGAGAACTTTCAAATATCATAAATTTTCAGTGCAGGAGGCTTGATATTATATTTTTAAAAGCTGAGTGTATGGCAAAACAATATAGCAACTAGTCTTTTGGAGTTGTATTGAAATTTACCAAGTAGCAAATTGGATAAGAAATAGAAGTTGGCCTGGTAACCATCTTGCAACCTTTGTATTAGCAGTTTCTCTTTTTACTCCTCCAGATGTGTAATCTGTATGCTGGATTTTGTATATGGAGATCCCATCCGATTCCTGCCTTGTCTACACATCTACCATGTAAACTGCATTGATGACTGGCTGATGCGATCATTCACATGTCCTTCTTGCATGGAGCCAGTTGATGCTGCTCTGCTCTCCTCCTATGAGACTAACTGAGGCGGCTTTGAGCCCTGCTCTTGTTCATGCTTCCAGGCTGTGGATATATTGGGGGCCTGGGATGTGGGACATTATTTGCACAATTCTGGGGTACACCAAAGAAACCGGTCCCAGCCCCTACGGACACATGCAGCCATGCTGGCTGTACTAAAGGATGATTTGTGCCATATTTTAAGTGTTGCATCCAGTGTATTGGGCTGGGGCTGGGGGTTGGAAGGAAACAAGGAAATGGCAGAACTAAAACTTTCCTTCCACTCTACTCACAATTTAGTTTTGTAGAAAATCAAGATTCTTCTTTGACCCAATTATCTACCCTCATACTTTTGTAAGTCCGTTAAGCTACTGAGTACAGTCATAGGAAACTGTAGTGGAATTCTAACTTGTTAATGAAAGAGAAAGCTGTTTAAAGCTGATGCTGAAGATCTCTTAAGGTTTTACAAATTAAGAGAAATTCTAAGGCTATTATACCAGCTCTGGTCAGTTCTTGGAGAAAAATAATTTAATATAGAAAAAAACCCAGGCATTTTATGTTCGGGCCACTATTGAAAATTCATCTATCAATACAGGTATGCAATGCAGAAAACAAGCCTTAGAAGCTAGCTAGCTAGCTACCTACCTAGTGTAGCTTGAAGCTGTAACATTGCTAGGGAAGGAGACTGAACCCATTTGCTTTTGGAAGTGCTTCTTTTAAAATATTTTTTAGTTGGGAGAAAAGGATACAATTTCCTTGCTCTTTTTCCTTGCTCATCAAATAAGAGTTTTATCTATTTTGAAGAAGTGTATGGTGCCTCTTTTCAAACCCCAATAGGGCAGATTCTCCACCTAATGCTTATTCACCAGACTAGAGGAAAATCACATGGATGTAACAGATTTTGAAAGCAATGGTTTGTTTCACTCAATCTTCATTTGGATGAAGTTCACTGGAAGGAGCAGGGATGGGATAAGTGCAGCTTATTTGTCACAATGTGAAATTTCTGCCTTTCTACTATATGGAAAAAGTGTTGAGATATATATATATATATCTTGTTTAAAGTGAGAAATATTTTTATGGAAAGTTTACGATTCAGTACGGTAAGATCCTTTTAGATGCTGGTTGTAAGTTAAAGCATCCATATATTCTGAAGAGTGAAGAAATGTTTATTTGTAGGCAATCTACTATTTGTCTTACATAAAGAAGATTTTGTCCCATAAGATCCTGTTAAGGCAGGCTGTTACTATGATGCAGCAAAGCCAACATGTGAAAAGGCTTTCCTAAATCATATTGTTTATTGCCTTGCAAGTACAGAAATGTCAAAGTGCTTTTCTGATTATGTACTGTTCATAGCAAAGATCTAGTGCTTGAAAGATTAAAAAAAACCGGATGTATATTGCATTGAAATGGAAAATAAATAGATTGTCAGCAGTGCCTTCTAAAGTACATACATTGGCCAAGATGACTGTAGAAAACTTTTCTATTAATGAAAGTGAGTAGAATGAGATACTCTGAATCAATTTATCATTGATTCTGTTTTTTCTTTTACCTTTAATAGTTAGAAATTAGTTGCCATGTTGCAATCAAGCACGATTCTATGCAGTAGTAGGATCTGATCTTGCTGTTGTATGGCCCTTCTGAAGTTTCTGAATGGAACTCCCAGCAGACCTGCAGTATTGTAAGGAATCTTGGAAATTGTAATTGCAACAAGAAAGTCACATTGGATTTGGGAATGAAGTCATATTTGCTTTCTAAGCCATACTACAAATATTCTTTTATTTGTAATTCCAAAACTAGCAGGGAGGAAACAGCTCAATGTGTCAAACAATGATTTGACCATAAGACAATACAGAATATTAAAGGAACCAAGAGAAAGTCTAGTAATCAGTTTAAGGCAAGAATTATTTATTTTGGATGACCCCCCAGCCCCACAAAGCAAACTGAAAGACCACAATAACTACTTTCTTCTCATCTTTTCAAATGAAACTGCAATTGCTGTTGAGACTTATGTGGTTTATGCTTTCAAATAACAGTGCTTTGAAAGGGCAAATCCCATTAGATGTCAGCATTCAATGGATTCCTCTTCATCAGCCCAGAGGGAGAAGATATAGTTTTCCTTGCCCGTGGTACCATTTCTATGATTGAAGTGAATAGAATCCATATTTTAAAGCAGCCGTCTCCAACCTTTCCAGCTCTGTGGATCAGCAAAAGGGGGGGGGGGTTTGCACACGCTTGCCCGCTGTTTTCATGGTCCGATTGCCAATAAAACACAAACTGGTAGCAGTCTACAGACTAGGTGACCCATTTTAAAGTACATTTCTTTGTCTGAAAGTCCTTGCCCTATGTTATCTCTTGGTATTGCCTGTATCTTCATTTTTGAAGTTCACCACAAAAAAAGTGGCAGAAGTAAAGATGGAGTTTGCTATTTAAGTTACTAGTATACTCTAGCCAGCAAGCTCTATTGCGTATTAATATCTCCTTGCTGTTTAGAGATACAGGAAATATTAAAATTGTTTCATGCAGACCATCAAAATTGGTATTTAGTAAATCATAATCCTGAGGAAAATAACATGGC